ATTTGAATTTCTGTTTCCAGAGGAATTTGTGGCAATAGGACAGCTTGAAAAACAAGAAAATCAATCAGAAAATAGATTGGAAAAACATTTTTGAAGGCATATTCTCTAGAATGCTTAAAAATCCAATCTGATCACAGTTTGCATACATTTGAATGAGAAGTACCCGCAACTTCTGATTACGGCTGCAGAGATCGTGGTCATTATGTGATGCTACCAGGTGGTTGTTGCATGCTACTGTTAACACATATGGCTAAACCTGACTTGTTCCTGTAAATTCCCTTGAATGATTCCTAAAAACATGGCATTTTGTGTGGATTTCTCAAACAGAAAGGTGTCTCGTGTTTAAAAAAAAAAATACTTAGCAGAGTACTCAGTGGCTGAGTCATATTTAGGAATAGGGTATTCACGAACAGTGTTACTGTTTTCATCTGTCAAATTTGGCAAATATTTGCATTTAATCTGCATTCTCTATTTAAATACACATTGGTCTATGTAAATGAGATGGTTTGTGTGATGTGTTACTTTCACATGTTTAAAGTAAACAAGGGCTTAGGGGTAGAATAGCTAAATAAGATATACATGCTTTTAACTACACACTACTTTCTGATTACAGGCTTTTAAGCATTTTTTCCCTCCTAATATCTGTAAAACAAATCTACCTTATTCCATTTCCTGTGTGCTTTTGTTTTTCGTTTTTATAATAGATGAATATTCAGAAATATAACCTCTGACCTTATAGTCCATTATTCTGTTTTATTGATCTAGAACAGGTCTCAGCATAACATAGTATTAATTGGACATTATCACCTTGCTTAACTCTGGGGTGGAGGGTTTCTACTAATTAAAATGCAGCTTAACTTGCTAGTTGAAAAGCAAATATGAATTAAGTACTATTTAGCTGTCTAGGAAAGTAACAGGTGCCTAATGAAATTATACCTGTATCACTAAAAGTGACAACTGTATTTTAGATACTAAACTAACTGAACAGTGTAATTTCATAATGAAGCCTAATATTATATTGCTTAATGGGAACACACACTTAATTATATGCTTGGTAAAAACAGCAGCACTTAACATTTATGGCCATGTAGGGGACAATAAAATTACTACATTCTGTTGATTTTCTTCTTCTTCTTTTTTTTTTTTACTAATACAGAAACAAGTCTGCAATTAGTTGGCACTTAGGAGTTTATAGGATTTGAGGAAAGATGGTGAAGATGGGCTACAAGTTAACATTGCTTTAATAGATACCATTTTTTCTCAAGATTTATTTCACTGAACGAGCCAGTTGTTAAGCAAGGACTATTTGTATTGACAAATACAAATTTGTCAAGTGTATTTCTTGTTTTCCATTATCCTTTTGTGGTTGCAGAAAAAGAATGCTAGAGATGAGAGAGGGAGAGGGAGAGGGAGAGAGGTGTGAGCATATTTATACATCTTTATGCACATAGGTCAGCATTTATGTATGTGTACAGGTAAGTAGCTGTATGTGGGTATGTATAGCTGTTTGTGAATATATATATGCGGTAAATAGAGAGCTATCTATACACAATCAAACACAAGGAAGGAAGGAAGGAAGGAAGGAAGGAAGGAAGGAAGGAAGGAAGGAAAGGAAGGAAGGAAGGAAGGAAGGAAGGAAGGAAGGGTGATATTTATAGGAGAATAATTCTTGTAGGGTCTTTATATTCCACAGCATCAACTCACAGCAGTCATAATCTTACCATTTTAGGCATTTAACACACATGAATTTAGCATGTGTGAGGACAAATGAGTATAGAATTGCTAACTGGATTTCCTTTCCTCCTGAGGGTTTTTTTTTTTTTAAATATAATAAATTCAGATGAAAGGAACACAAACGTAGCTGCTACTAAAGCTTTTAAACTGCCCAGTGCTTAAATGATCACTGTCTTGAACAAAGCAGAATGTAGATTGTAATCCACTATGTATGTATGTCAATAATGCTACAGAGTACTTCCTGCAACATGCTGGAGCCATAATTATAAGACAAAAGGAAGTGGAACTTTATAGCAATCGCTGAGTTGACTCAGTTATGAAGGTTTATTTTATGGTTCACATGTCTGGCTCAGTGGTGGGTTCCTCCCGGTTCGGACCAGTTTGGAAGAGCTGGTAGTGGTGACGATATGACGTCACCGAACCAGTTCTCTTTGTTCGGAAGCTGGGCCCTCCCACTCGCCCCCACATTATTCTTACCTTTTATTTCTTTTTTTTTTTTAGCCCAGTTGATAGGTGCGGCAGAGTGGATTGCCGCACCTCAGCTGGGCAGATTCGTAACGCGCTTGCATGGAGTACAAGTTTGGTGCGCATTCACGTGGCGATCGCACGCGAAGCACGTGTACAAAGAGGCGATCGCGCGTGAAATGCATGCACAAAGAGAACTGGTAGTAAAGCCGGTTAGAACCCACCACTAGTTTGGCTCCAGTTTAAAATTCCAAATTATTTAAATATGTACAAAAGGCAAATGGTTAAGAATGTTCTCAAGGATCCTGGGGTTTTTGCCCCCAAATATCATCCTTAAATTAGTCTTCCCTAGCATTTTGAAAATACAGGAATACAACTGTTACAATCCCCAACCAACAAATTGTCTGGCAGAAGAGGAGTTCCAGTCCAATGCATAAGAAGGGAAACAGATTTACAATCACTTCTTTGTGCAGATTTAGATCTGCACAGTGGCCATGCACTACTGGATCTTTCATTTACTGTATGATTTGTATATTTTTTATCCTGACCTTGTGGGAACATATTTGATATTTGCAGAAGTGGATGTTCAAAAGGCAGATATTTAAAATAAGGAAGTTTCCTATTGAATGAATGAAATGTATTTGGTTGGGGGAGGAGGAGCTGATTTTGGGCTCCAGTTATGGTTGCCTCTGGCATGGCACCTGGCAACCAGCCCTTTTATTAATGTGGGTTTCACTGTAATATGGTTCCAAAGTTTAAGAATGAAATGCATGATTTAAAAAATGGAGAAGGGGTTAATCCAGGGATGAAATTCAAAAAATGTTCCTACCGGGTCTGTGGGCGTGGCTTGGTGGGCGTGGCAGGGGATACTGCAAAATCCCCATTCCCTCCCCATTCCTGGGGCCAGCCAGAAGTGGTATTTGCCAGTTCTCTGAACTACTCAAAATTTCCACTACCAGTCAGAACCTGCTGAATTTCAGCCCAGGTTAATCATAAAAGGCTGAACTGTATTACGATCTGTGCCCATTTAGAGTTTGTCCATTGGTTTATTTTTCTTTCAACGTGCTTTTGTCAAATACCTTTAGCAAATCTTCATTTATTGGAGGAAAACCTTTTGCAGTAAGAAATATAATCAGTAATCAGTTTGTGCTTCATATTTAGATAATTGCATTTGGCCACTGTATATTTAATGAAAATTAATCTTGTTCTCCACCTATGCTCTGCAGATTAAATGATACTTCGTGCACTAATACCTGGACTAAAAGTCCCTCCTCCTCCTCCTCCTCCTCCTCCTCCTCCTCTCCTTTTCCTCTACAATATAAGCTATATAGTGAATATGATTATAATTTAGTGTTTGGCAGTGTGATCTAACCAACTGTAAAGTGGGGCCACTCCTTCCCTTCTGATAGATTTATAAATAATCTTACAAGATTGAAGTTCTTGCCCATCCTCACAATTTGGTAGCAGCATCTTTATTTTGAATCTTGAACCACCACAGCACTTATATTTAGTACTCAATTTAGTACTTTATTTAGAGTACTTATTTAGTACTCAAAATGCCAAAAATTCAGTATCAAAGGAGTAGAGTTACTCTACTTTCAGTGCTTAAACACTGAATCAGTTTTGAAATATAAATGAAACTTTTATAGCAGCCTCCTTAAAACATATTTGGCATTTGAAACTATGGATATTTGATTTTGCTCTCTCAAGAGGAATCCAGCACTTTCTATTTTAATATGTTTTCTAAGGAACCACTTTGCAATTCAAATCTAAGGCTTTTTTGCAATATATACTGGTATTTACCTTCCCCAATAGGAGCAAAGCTAAGTACTGTAGGGTTATCAGATTTTTTTTTTAAAAAAATACAAAGGTAAATATAATTATTATACTATACCATGCATCTTCCTCATAGCAATCCATTCAAACAAGAAGTGATGCAATAACTGTTTTTTATTGTTGAGACAGTGTTTTTGGTATTCATACGAAGAACATAAATCTAATCCGCTTAATCCAGTTTTCCCTTTCCTTTGATCTTTAAGGATTAAAATCTCTAGAACAGTTTAGGTTTTTAAGGTCAATGATTTTATCCAGTTAGGCGATTATTTTAGCTTTTGTTTAGTCCCTGATGGCACTTTTTGTTTATATTTGCAATATTTTACTGTTTGCATTGTGGATTTGTTTTGATTAATAACATTTATCATGTGAGCTGTGTCAAGCGTGGATAAATTATTATAGAACAGCTAAAAATTACAGTATTTTTTGATATAGGAGGCATTTTATTGCCGTTCGTGGCCCTATCTTTCTGAATTCATTGAATTCTTAATTCTCACTAGCGCATCTTAAAATTCTAGTTTAAGAGTCTATTCTGTAGTTTAATTGTGTTTTTATGAAGTATTATTTGCTTTAATTGGCCTAAATATTGTTATTATCATAATAATTATTAGATTAAATGTACCATAATCTGGATCCTAATATTATTGGATTAAAAAAAGCTTCTCCATTTTTAAAGTTCTGTAGATTAATGCATATTATAGATCTCGCTCGTGTTTCCTCTATTCTCCAAAGTTAAGTTGAAAAATCTCCCTTTCCCCCCTCTCCATTTAGGTCAGGGGTCTCCAACCTTGGCAACTTTAAGCCTGGCAGACTTCAACTCCCAGAATTTCCACCAGGCTTAAAGTTGACAACGTTGGAGACCCCTAATTTAGGTTGCCTTTTTCTGTTCTTACTATTCTTGCTATTGCTGTTGTTGCATTTTTTTCCTCATCCATGTGCTTATTTTTTTTTTTCCTTTCTTTGTGTAGAATTTTTCCGAGAGCTCCTGGAGAACGCAGAACGATCCTTAAATGATATGTTTGTTCGAACATACGGCATGCTGTACATGCAGAATTCAGAAGTATTCCAGGACCTCTTTATAGAACTGAAACGATATTACACAGGAGGCAATGTCAACCTGGAGGAGATGTTGAATGACTTCTGGGCCCGTCTATTAGAGCGAATGTTCCAGCTCATAAATCCCCACTATCATTTCTCTGAGGACTATCTAGAATGCGTGAGCAAATACACAGACCAGCTTAAGCCTTTCGGAGATGTACCCAGGAAACTCAAGGTTCAGGTGACGAGAGCTTTCATCGCGGCAAGGACCTTTGTTCAGGGACTGACGGTGGGCAGAGAAGTTGCTAACAGGGTATCTAAGGTAATCAAAATGATTTCTCTTTCTTTTCTGTTGCTTCACTGGAGACTCAAGTTTCTATGCCACTGTCATTTATGGTGTGCAGCTTTCCATCTATGTCAACGTTATAGCTAGCAGGGGAGTTTATTGGGGTGTGAATAGCTATAGTGTGTTTCCTTTCCTTTGGACTATGTCAAAAATGATAGCTGTACTGCCAGGCTTCTTGCTTAAGGCAGGAATGGCGTGTCAATCTTCATTTGGTGTTTAGAAGGAGGCCAGTCTGCTAGCTCTTCATCTCTTCATTATATATAAATACACAGAAAAAAGCAAGAATTTATGGGACTTATTATTACAGGTACTTTGACAAGTGGTAATGATGTATTGTACTTTTAATATTGCGTACAGCTAGCATGAGATGAAGTTGTACTGTCAAAAAGCCCAATTGTGATAGAAAATATGTCGTAATAGATATCTCATAGTTGCTTCTTTTTTAAAAGTATGTTCAAAGCTACACAGTGGTGATAAGAGTGGCAAAGGGGCAGTTGCTTGTGCTCGTGCTATTTATCACAATAAAAATTCACAAGAAATGAAGGCTTTTCATGGACAAGCCCTGGTAGCTGAGGGCCTTCATTGTGAACTACCGTTTCCCCAAAAATAAGACATCCCCTGATAATAAGCCCAATCGGGCTTTTGAGTGCATGGCAATAAGGCCAAGCACTTATTTCAGGGTTCAAAAAAATATAAGACAGGGTCTTATTTTTGGGGAAACACGGTACATCACTATCAGCGCTGGGTTTCCAATATTCTTACCAATGGTTTGCCCCGCGCGCACACGCTCACTTTGTGTGCACGCATTCCATGCATGCGCCCGGAATGCGCATGCACCTGGCCTTCCGAACTGGGAGCATTTCAACCCTGATACATTCGTTAAGAATCATAAGGTACAACACTTAATGATAGTCAAAGGGTACAAATAAGCAATCATTTATTACTTATACTAGGAAACAGTCAATATAAATCATAAGGATACCAGCAACAATTTACAGTCATACAGTCCTAAGTGGGAGGACATGGGTGATAGGAATGATGAGAAGACTAATAGTAATGCAGACTTAGTGAATAGTTTGACAGTGTTGAGGGAATTATTTGTTTAGCAGAGTGATGGCGTTCAGGGAAAAAACTGTTCTTGTGTCTAGTTGTTCTGGTGTGCAGTGCTCTATAGCATCGTTTTGAGGGTAGGAGTTGAAATAATTTATGTCCAGGATGTGAGGGGTCTGTAAATATTTCACAGCCCTCTTTTTTGACTTGTGCAGTATATAGATCCTCAATGGAAGGCAGGTTGGTAGTAATTGTTTTTTCTGCAGTTCTAATTATCTAATTATTCCATGTCTATAGATAGAGTCTTGCCAAAGTAAAGCACTCTACTGTCATCAAGCATATACTCTGAGAACTGTTGGGGAAGCGCTGTCTTCACTCTTTCTCTCACACAAGATATCTGGACTAAACTGCTTCTTACTCCTCTGGGAATTCAGCCTACTTCATTGTGTCACAGTTTTAGCAGTTTTTCTTTGGGGGAGGGATCTCTTCTCAATCATTTTGTATCTGTATGGAAGCAGCAGCAAGAGAAGTCAGGGCTTTCAAGGATGACTGCAGAGAGTAACTCCTCAACGAGTAGTGCTGGTAACAACGCCACAACTGCAGGACCTCACAATCTTCTCCTGCATTTTTTCCCCGGCTGCTTATAAGGAGACAAGTCACCAACATTCTCCAGAAGGCAGAACCTCCAGCAACAGCTATTTCCAGATTCCTGGAAATGGAGGCAGGGAGAGGGACATTGCCCTGACTATTATTACTGTCTTGTTCCAAGTTGCTGAGGGTAAAGAGCAGTCCTGAGCTTGGCTTTTCATTCAGAAATAAAAAGTGAGCAGCAGTGGTGGGATTCAGCCGGTTCTGTCCAGTTCGGGCAAACCGGTAGTGGCGACTGTGGGAGGCTCCACCCGGACGTAATGTGCATGCGCAGAAGACTGTCTGGAAATTTCTCCTTAGTTCTAAGTTGCTTCTCTCCTTGATTAGTTTCCACCCATTGCTTCTTGTTCTCCCCTCAGGTACTTTGAAGAATAGTTTGACTCCCTCTTTTCTGTGGCAACCCCTGAGATATTGGAACACTGCTATCATGTCTCCCCTAGTCCTTCTCTTCATTAAACTAGACATACCCAGTTCCTGCAACCGTTCTTCATATATTTTAGCCTCCAGTCCCCTAATCATCTTTGTTGCTCTTCTCTGCACTCTTTCTAGAGTCTTCACATCTTTTTTACATTGTGGCAACCAAAACTGAATTCAGTATTCCAAGTGTGGCCTTACCAAGGCATTATAAATGGATATGTGAATGATCCCTCAAAATAATAATGTATTGTAAATCTGGATCAAATAACTTCTTACTCAAATCGGTTATCCTAAATAGCAACAGCACTTAGACTTCTGTACTGCTTACACAGTGCTTTACAGCCCTCTCCAAGCAGTTTACAGAGTCAACATATTGCCCCCAACAATCTGGGTCCTCATTTTACTGACCTCAGAAAGATGGAAGGCTGAGTTAACCTTGAGCCTGGTGAGAATTGAACTGCCGAACTGCTCGCAGTCAGCAGTTGTAGCCTGCAGTACTGTATTCTAACCACTGCGCCACCATGGCTTTCCAAAAATCTGTTACAGAGGACCCAAATGGAGGCATTTATCCTTAAAGCAACGTTTTGTAGATTTGCATAGCAGAAGGAATATTGTGCCTCCTGCTTTCAAAAAGATTTCATTTTCCATTTTTCCTTTTGCCGAGTAGTCTAAAATGAGATTATGAAAATGGAAATCTGATTAAATAATTTATATTCATATCACAGGGTATAAAGCTGAGAGGTAAAAATACACCAAGAACTTAGAAATAAGTCCATTGTTATATACCACCACCCACTCTCTCTTTCAAGGGCCTGTCATTTTACAGGTGGATTTCAATCACAATAAAGGAGGAAAGTGGATTATTTAGAGATGTCCTAATTAAGGCAACATTCAGCAAAAAAAAAAAAAATCTGCCTGCATTTTCTCTTCTTCTGTCATTTTTTCATCAGATTCTTCCTCTTGTGTTTTGAGAATATTGCAACAACCCATAATTATGGCATGTCTTTACTGCAGATAACTGTAGTGTCAGTTGTTTTGGGAAATGCCATATATTGGTAATGTCCATAAAAAACAATTCTTCACCAGGATAATTTTTATAGGTGGCATATACTGGGAATGAAGTAATGTCACAACCTGTGCTATTTGTTATATTTTAACCTTTACTTATATTTTTTTTAAATGGCACTGTACCTTTTCAATGATTATGTAAGATTATGATTTAGAACCCACATTGTAATCTTTTCATTAAAGAGACGTGGGTTTAAATTTCTGCTCAGTTATAAATTGTATTGCAAAAAAGGCTAGCTTTCAAGCAGTGAAGTTGATGAAATGGAAGAATCCAATTCATATTTTGCCAGATTTAAAAATGCAGTCTTTCATCAGACCAGATTCTAGGGCTGTGTGCAATAAAGATTTGATACTGACAGCAAATACTAATATTGAAGAAAATAAATAAAAATTACACAAAGGACTGTTGAGATTCAGATTCAAACAAAATTGATGCCCAAGAAGATACAAGTGGGTATCCAGGATATGTCAGTAATCCTTATCTACATGATAATGTAGTAGACGTCCAATAAAAAAGATTAAAATTCTTTATTGGCCAAGTGTGATTGGAGGCACAAGGAATTTGTCTTTGGTGCATATGCTCTCAGTGCAGTGGTGGGTGGCCCCCGGTTTAGACTGGTTCACAAGAACTGGTAGTAAAACCAGTGGGAGGCTCCGCCCACTGACCCAGACGTCATCATGGGTGATCTGCGCATGCACAGAAGAGCGGGCGTGATGCGAACCGGTAGTAAAGGTAAGTAGAACCCACCCCTGTCTCAGTGTACATAAAAGGGAAAAAAAAGAAAAAAAAATACATTCATCGAGAATCATAAGATACAACAGTGATAGTCATAGGTTACTAATAAACAATCAAATCATACTAGGAAACAAACAGAACAATATAAATCGTAAAAATACAAGCAACATGGTTATAATTATGAGTGGGAGGAGATAGGTAATAGGAAGGATTAGAAGAATAATAGTAATACAGTCTTAGTAAATAGTTTGACAGTGTTGTGGGAATTAGTTGTTTAACACAGTGATGGCATTTGGGGAAAAAAATGTCCTTGTGTCTAGTTGTAAAAAAATAAAAATAAAAAAGATTACATTCATAAATAAATAAGACACTAAGAAAGATCACTGCCCCAGTTGAAAAAGTATGAATATATAGATTTACTTAAAATGAAAAAAATGAGTAAGCTGGCATTGAACAGTTCTCCTTTTTCACACACAAAAATAGCAAAACATCACATGTATCTCCAATGTATTGTATCATTCCAATGCAACACGGATTTCAGATATTGCTTTAGAAAATAGTTAAAGAAGGATTTAATTAGTTGATTCAACATTTTTTTGGTTTTGCCTTCAAGTACTTCATCTGCCAGGATCAGTCCTTGCAGTGTTCTTGTCAAGATTTCACAAGTGTTTTGCCATCACCTTCTTCCTAGAGCTTGAGAGAATGACTGGCTGAAGGTCACCAAGTCGGCTTCATGCCTAAAGTAGAATTAACATCTCAATCACCAGATTCAATGTGTGCCATCATTTTTGATCAAATTAATCTCCAAAAGAATAACATTTGTTTTACGAAGCTCTGATTTTATGTGCAATTTTAAATTTACTAAGTAACGTACATCATTTTTCAGGGTGTGGCATGATTTTGTATGTCCAAAATAGTTTTGGAATTACTGTCATGCTGAGATTTATCATTTTTATACCATTGAGGTTTTTATGAGCCATTGAGGGTTTGGTTCTTTCCCCTCTTCCCCTCTCTTTTCACACTATTAAGTTTTTTCCTGGAAATAGTCACAAGCATT